GAAAAAAAAAAACAATTTCCACTTCCTCCTCGAGTAAATAATTTTCTCGTAAGTTTCGCTCGACGAGGGATTTTCTCGCGCTTTTATCTCCCTCAAGAATGGTGTTCGAAAGGAAAGGGGAGGAAAAAATTCGAAGCGTGTTTATATTGCGTCGTTTCGAATTCATTCGCGTGGAACGAAGGGGTGGAAAATAATTATCGGATGGTCGATAAAGGAGCGCCGGTGGAAACGTATCGTTCATTATAAGCTTATCGAGGCGGGAACGAGCGAAAGACAAAATCGAAACGATGCACGCGTCTTTATCGCGTTGTTAGCGGGGCGATAAGGGTGAGTTCGGTTCACGTGCGTGTTCACGGCCAATTTCTCTGCTCTCGTACACCACGGCGCGAGCGTGACTCGTTTGTGTATACACGTTCTATAACGCTGCATCTATTGAGAATTTTTCTTTAAACATCGAAACGGGTTAACAGTTTAAACACTTTTGTGCGAGAAAGTTACCAATCAATGGATACAACACTTCTATCTCTCGTTCCATTCACTGCCATGCATACAAATACTCCTCCACTGTCGAAACTGTGAAATGGTTTTTTTCTTTTTTTTGCCTCTTTTCTTACCGGATCGCGCTTTCCCTACATTTTCTTTTCACGCCGTTTTCACTTGCGAACGGTTGGCCATTTGCAAATAGCCGGTTCTCGCGTAATAACAACTGGCACAACCGACTATTAACCGAGTAATAATGTCCAAGTAATCGGGAAAAGGTTCGATGAATGACGACCCGTTGGCACTGCCGCGAGTTAATCCGAGTTAAAGGGGGTTGATTTTAATTTTCTTTCCTACTCTCCAACTCCAATCTCCTCGAAATCTTCCTCCATTTCGTCCCCGTTTGTTTTTCTTCTCGAATTAATTTATCATCGACGTCGCTCGCCCGGGGAAAGAAAGTATTCGAAAGTATCGTCGTTGAAAATTCTCTCAGGGAAGAATTATTTCGAACCTCTCGAAATAATAGTTTTATGTAAGAAGGAACGTTCGCTTTCTTTCCTCCCCGGATGAAACCTCCGTGCAGTCCGAGTTCTCAAATGGAACTCTCTCGTGTCGTTCCTCGCCCAGAAAATACGTAATTTTACCAAATTTCGACGTCGAAATTTATGACAAAATTTGGTGTCTCGTTGCAAAAAGTATTCCAAGTTGCGGCGTGTTGCAAGGTTAATTTACCCCGCCGAGGACGGGGCTCGAAACATGAGGACGGTTCTCAGAGTTTCCCCGATACTCTCCACACACACACACACAGCCTTATGAACCTAATTGCGCGGCCGATCCTCGCGTGTTGGAGCACGCTCTCAAAGGATCGAACCCTCTTGGCGATTCAAAGCCAAACAACGAAAACTTGCGACACTTTGTTTGTCCGAAACTCGAACTTGAAGCGCTATGATTCTCACGCGCCCATTTTTCCTGAAAAATCTTCGCGAGGATTTTCGCAAAGGAGAGTGTGAAAAAAAAAATGGGAAGGACTTCGTTTGTAAAGAAACGCGTGAACTGACGTCGATCCGTCGATGGGCTGTTTCGCATGCAACGATTTAACGGGGAGCGTGGGTGACTTTTCGAAAACTCTCGTTGCACCTCCGATAACTTAGCACGAACCGAAATTTACGTTACGGTGCGCCCAGCATTATTTATCGAGCGTTCGAGGCCAAGCTAGCTACCGCACACACGTACACACACACATACGCGCCGAGGTTTATGACTTCTTCTCGAGCCGTTCCAATTGCCAAGAAAACGTATATCTCCGCCGCTTCGTAGTTGCGTGTTGCGCCACGTGCGGTCATCGTAAATGCACGGTTCCTGCAACCCGCGTTCCAGACCGTGCATACCGAATCGATTTGCTCGACACGTTTGACACACGTTTTATGCTAACTACACTGGTTATCTCGTAACCAACTTGGAAAACGAATACAACGAGAATTAAATCTAGTGTAAAAAACTGTGTGCGGTGCTTGCGAAATTTTTCTTATTTATCTTTTGTCAATTCATCACAAGTTTGCATTTAATCAACGCGTCTCCTTGCTTTGATAAATTTTCGAGTAACGAGTGATCAATAATAAATTAATTAAATTCAAATTTCAAACGTATTAATTATTTGACTGGGAAACGAATCGTCGTGGGAGGAGAAACGTCGATATCCCGAGAACATCTGGTTAAACGATATTAACGCGTCTCGATGTCCGATACGTTGAAATAATTTCGTCCGCGTGAGAAATCTTCGAGCAAGAACTCGTTTAAAATAAAATTCGAAACGAGAATTGTCGAGCGGCACGCGTTCAACCGTCGACGAAGCCGAAGCAACGATAAGATGGATGAGAAGGGAGCGGGGTTTTTTATCTTTCGCGTCCTATTATTACGAGGACGAAAGTTGGCCAATTTCCGTTCCCCTCTAATTAAAATAACGCGCGAGAAATGGCGAGCCTCGATCGATCGATTTAAGTTAACGAAAAAACGCGCGATTATTTTATAACTCGAGTGCAACGTGCGTGTAAATGTGGTGCACGTGTATCGGGCGTATCAAGCGGCGCATATGAGATATCAAAGTAAATTGACACAGCTTTACTTGACAAGCAAGCTAAAATTGCTAAACACTTTCTGCGCGTTTAACCATGCGCCTGTATAAACATCCAAATATATTTACATCGCAGAATAAGTTCTCCCACCGGGGATCGCTTCACTCGTGGCGGTGTTGTCCTGTCTACAGAAATGGAATGGAATCGGACCAAAACTATGCGACGTTGCTCGCTCGTCCATACGTCCCCTCTTCCCCTCGCAATCGCGCGCGGTTTCGTGTTACGTCGTTAACCGTGCGGCGAGCATCGCCAACACTCACGGCTCCTTCGTCGATCTTAACACGCGCAAACACTTGGTATTTTTGGCCCATGTGGAGAAGAATTGACCACTGTTCTTCGGAAGAATTTGTGCCCGATGATTCGATTCGGCGAACATTTTCACCATTTAATCCGTTAAAAATCCAATTTGGGATCGATAAAGAAAATTGCTTTCGAAACTGTTCTCTCTCTCTCTCTCTCTCTCGCTCGGTTAAAATGGACAACTTTACAATTAGCGATCGCGACAGAGGAGTACACGTTTTTCCATTCGATTCGCGTATTTGCATTTAATGAGGAATACGAGTCGGGGGAGATAATGAAAGAGGGGAGGGGGAAATGGGCGATTTGGCGGCGGGATCGGGACACGGGAAATCAATTTTCAAGGCGCGAGGCGGGTTGCAACAATTGAGGAACTTGGTGCAACGAGTGCGCTACGCTTGTAAATGCACTCTCGACAAGCGCGTGATAAATCATCGCCCGTGAAAAATATCCCCTCCTAGTCGTTCTTGGGCCGAGCACAAGGATGGAACGACAGCTTTTTTCTTCCTTTTTTTTTTTTTTTTCATCTCGATCGAGAAATCATGACACACATCCCCTTTCTCCCCCTCCCTTCTTTCTCGCGAGGTAAATCTTGGAGATGGAACGAGTATATAATATCGGAAATGCTAATAAATCGATCAACTTTCTAATTGATTCTGGCCGGGACTCGAGTAATTAATCATGAGCTCGATCAGGGGTACGCTAACAAACTTTAGTTTTAGTTTTTCTTCCCTCCCTCCCTTTTCGAGAAATCGATATTAATATAAGTCGGCTTATTTTAATGGTTTTACACGCCGATATTAATTGCACGTTAAATAGGATAACGTGGCGTGTTCCGAAATTTAAAAATCCAGTTTCGCGTATTTCGCGCGAAAACTATTCCAAAGCGTTCTCTAATTTAACGGCCGAATGATATATCCATTTCGAAAACCTGGTTTAAAAACAGCTTCGGTTGAACGGCATACGCGTAACAGTTACGCAATTGATTTCGAATCAAGCGAGATACTGTCGATTAATGTCAATGTAAGCGATATTTAAGCTAATTGCCGGACCAGTCCGGCAGTCGGTGCAATGCTCAGAGCATCGTTCTTCCATTGTCCGGTTAGGATAAAGCGATTAAACAGTTGATACGATCAATCCAAATTGTTCAGGTGTCAGATGTATCGATGTGTGTGCATCCGCGCAAAGTCGGATATATATATATATATATACGTATATACGGTAAAATGGTACGGGTGCCATTGTGTCTGACCTGAGAGCAGATACTCAAGTATGTAAATTATGCGGCTCGACACGTGCGGTTAATAGTTGGTCGCCTCTCCTTTTCTACTCTATGCATCCAGCCACGAGATATATACGTGTACACGCTTCACTTTTACGCGTCTACATTTAATATACATTTCATCCCTAAAATCTTATATTTTTACTTGACCTATCTCGATATATCGTGTCTTCTACTAAATTTCGAATTAATTTGCCGTAAAATTTATCGTACTTTTTTTGTTACGTAATATCATATAGCTATTATATGCGTGATATTCAGCTAGAATATTTTTCCTCGATTTTGAAAACGTATTGTCGCGATTAACGCCACGTGAAACGAATCTACGCGAGGTAGCGGACCCGTCAAGGACGAAAGAACGATCGTTCCTTGATTTTATTTTCAATCGTAAAAAAGGAGAATGGGTTCGGGGGCAACGTTGGAAAAACATTAATCCGACGAGGGATCAATGTTCCGTTCAAATGTTCCGAAATAAAATCGGAGGTTTTTCGCGCGCGTGTGCGTGAAAAAAAAGAAGAAAGAAAGAAAAATGGTGGACGAGAATATAGCACCGACGCTCCGACGATTTAACCGCGATACTTGGCTGTTTGTACGCGTTTACGTGTTTCGTAACGAGAAAAAAAAAAGTCTCGCGCAACAACTCGCGACGCGACGCGCAATTTTTTATCCCCCCCTCTCCCCTTCTGCGAGAAAACAACGACGACGAGCAAATGTTCTCCGTTAAAAAACCATTCCGCTACTCTTCCTTCCGAAGATTTGTATCTATTCGCGTTCGAAGAAAGAAAAGGAATTGAACGAACGCCACTCACCATTACGTTAAAGATTACGTTAAGTCCCTCGTGCTTCGGCGCCCGACACGAGCATTCCTTCACAGCCGGGCGACGTCTCCGCTGAATTCACGGCAGCTCGCACTTTCCACAACCAATTCATAGTCGACGCACTTTCCTCCGATCGTCCCCGATTCTTTACACACACATACACACACGTGCACACACCCTCGATTTTTTCGCCCCTCGCCCGCAAGAAATTCCTTCGCGTCGTCGTGTCGAGCGAGTCGAACGACGAAACTTCTCCGACTGCGAATCTCGAACCCCGTCCCCGCAATAAATATACGTGGTACGAGTGTTACATTTGCGCGTGTTTACGTTTGGCGCTCGACGATATTATTCGAGGAACGACCGATTCGAGGTACGCGAAAGTCGTTCGAGTATATAAACATAAACACACACGTGTCGACACCCATCCGATCCTTCTCGTCCGCCGCGGCTCAACAACCGTAACCTTTCTCCCTCATAATTGGGACGCGGGAAGGAGGGACGAGCGAGGTGTTTTACAAAACCGCGTTTTAAAATCGCGCCTCGAACCACCTCGAATCCATGGCGTTGCATCGACTCGAGGACGAGGAATATCTCTCTCTCTCTCTCTCGAAGAGCGCGCGTCGAGAGGGAATGGAGAGGGAGGGTTGGATTCGAGTCGAGTCAGGGTGAACGACGACGCGCCACGACTCTCGAGCGGCAGTTGACGCGACACTAGAGAGAAAATCCGGAGTCGGCTTGCCGCCACCGGACGTTGGGGGCGCCTGCGCCCTTCGCCGCCGCCAGAGTGTGCCGCGAAATTTTCGTGGGACGCGTCGATGCAACGCGCCAGTCTGGCCCACGACCATTTCGCGGCCGGATGCGTGTCCAATTTCGTTACCTTCTTTGTTTCGCGCCGGGACATCCCCGACGATAGTCGATAAAATTTCCTCTCCAACCCTCCCGGGGAAAAAAAGAAAAGAAAAGAAAAGGATTTTCGTCCCTCCCTCGGATTATTTCTCGAAGCATTTCTTCGATCTCGAAAATGAATCGATGCCAATAAGACTTGCGATCAAACTTTCACTTTGATCGATTCTTAACTCTTTGCACTGGTATTTATATTTAAGAAAGTTATTATTATATACGTGTAGAACGTAATTATACATAATAATGGAATATAGGATAAGATTTTATCGGAGATGGGAAGAAAGGTTGGAACGTTTTTGAAGATGATTATTTTGAGGAGAATTACGGACGGTTAACGAGGCCGTCTAGTAAATAGCGATAATATTCGCAAGGTAGTGGTACAATGGTGGGATTACGGGAGTTAGTTGGAGGCTGTTGGTAACGAGCGAGGGTTAGCCGGGCCGAGTTCGGCACAGATGCAGATAATGGAATCGTAATGCTATCGGCTGATCGATGATAATTCTACATCGTTCAATGGAAAGCCTGTGAAGTATAACGAGCGCGCGAGGAATACCGAGCTTTTGTGATTAACAGATTTACGCGTTTCTCTCGATACTACTCTTCGCGATAATGTTGCATCGCACGATTTCACGTAATTTCCTCACCACCTGTTTCAACAACTATTTCTCGCGTAATCGGCGAGAATCGGTTTAAACGTCCTTCATATTTCCATCTTAATTTCTTTTTTTTTTTTTTAGGGATCGAATAATTTAAATGGATTTCCAAAAATCCTGATCAAAAGAAATTGCGTTCGAAGGAATTTCACGGATTTCGTTTGTATAAAATAATTTCGCGTTTACTGAAACGTTCAATGACGGCCTACTGCTCGCATTCATCTTCCTGTTTATCGCGTGTTTACCACGACGGGGGAGGGGAAGGTTACAATTCGTCGAACGGACTCGTTTCGGACGCGTCCACGTCGGTGGGGAATAAAAAATAGGATGATGGGACGATTGAGAAAGAGGAGAGGGAAAAATAATGATAGTAATAACAGTTGTTGAGGATTCACGTGTAATAATACCGGGATCCATCATCGATAGGTAAGCGCAATTTACCGGTTATGTCATTGGCTCGACACGGGAACGATTACGGCTGCCTCGAATTGCCGGCCGTAAAACGAACTTCTGCTTTAATCTGACATAACATTACGGCCCATTGAATGGGACCCGGTGTTTCTCATTTTCGCCAACTGAGGAATATCGGATGCTCGATTATTGCGCAACCAAGATAAATTTGCCAACACCGATTCAACACCGTTCCACTTTTTCTCTTTGATCTAACGCTATCATCCTGCAAATGGATCCTGTTTCGTAGAAAATAATTAATAATTATTTTCGCGCCCATATTTCTTTGTAAATAATCGACAGTAACTTGCGTATTTTCTTTTCGAAAGAATTCAGGACAATGCTCCTTTTCCTTGTTATATTTTTTCAACGTTCTTTAACTAATTTTCTCATTCTGGAATGTTTCGTAAATATAATAAATAATTAATAATTTTATAAAAAAAAAAACGATACGAACATTGATTTTGCGACATCGATGTCAAAATATTGGGTATTTTCTTTTCGAAAGAATTCAACAGTCCCCTCTTTCACTGGTACTTTTTTTCAACGTTTTTTAACTGATGTTCTCTTCCCGGGGAACGAATTTCCTGTTTCGTAAATAATTAATAATTTTATAAAAAAAAAAAATATACGAACATTGATTTTGCGACATCGATGTCAAAATAATACTTTCTTTCCAAAGAGAGATATTCAACAGTGCTCCGTTGCTCTTTTCAACGTTCTTTAATCTGACGTCGCGACGTCGATGCCAAAATACTCGTGTATTCTTTTCTCTCGAAACGATGTAAAAGTCGAAAGGAGTCAAGATTATGGGGTAAAAGTTGCTTTAAATATTAGGGGTTCCTATCTCCTATCTCCCTCGGCCTTTTGCAGGATTTCTGCAAAGTTTATTACGTGCCATAATCCCTTTTCCCTTTTACGATAAAGTTCGGCTAACGGAGAGCGATGGCGTCGTTTAAGCCGGCAAAGAGAGGAGGAGGAGGAGGAGGAAATTAGCTTTCTTAACGATTCTCGGTTCAACAAAGCTACCAACGCGCGAGAAATGATCGCGTGAAATAATTATATTAAAGCGTTAGGCGAAGAGGCAACAAACGGATCGTTGGCGTCATCGTTCGACGAGCAATCGTTCGAGCGGCTATAAAATATGGCCGGGGAAAGGATGGAAGGAACAATGGAAGGCGACTTCCATACGTGACTTTATTATTATTTACTTTATTATCGTTGCACAGGGTATCGTTTACAAGGAAATGGTGGGAAAAAAGGAAAACGAAGGATTGAACGGAGAAACGAGATTAAACGATATAATAAAAGCATACTTCTGGCGTACTTGCTTGCGAAACGTTATTAATAATCAACGAAAGGGCAAGTAAATGTAATCAAATGTATAAAAAGACGATACGCTACGATTCTTTCACGAAATTCTCGTTCCCTGTTTGCGCTGCCTGCTTTCAAGACTGAATATAATCGAACAATGTTATGTTATCATTGCACAAACACGGATATTACGACGATAACAACGAATATCGAAGACGTATCGAAAGAAAAAGGAGGGAAGAAAACACGTATATTCACAAGAGAGAGAAATGTATTAAACGTTTCGCAAACGAGGCATCCGTTGGCAAAAGATTCGCTAAATTCACTACTCCTCTCCGGCTTATTAAATAACCGCCCTCTTACGAAGCTCTGAATTTCTACGGAACTTCTTCCCGTTCCCTTTCTCATATCACGAATCATATCCCAAGACACATCGACGATCCACCCCTCTTCACCACTTTCCCTTAAGAATCGGAGGCGATGAGCTCCCCGATCTCCTCGATCACCTCGCCGATGCGTATCCGATACATCTCGTTCGCCCTGCACTCGCTCCTCACGAGATCCGGTCGCCGATCCCCGTACACGTAGTGCTCCAATTTCTCGGTCGAGCCGACGAAATATTCCTCGACCGCCTGCTTCGAGAGCAGCATTACCTGCATATTGGCGACCGCGAACGCCAACGCCATGCTCCTCGTCTCCTCGCAACTCTTCACCAATTGTTCCCGCGGCAAACACTCCTCGGCGACCAGGCCCTCCCCGGCCAACTCCCTCCTCACAGTCTCGTAATAAACGTCGAGGAGCAGGTGGCGGCACTCGCGTCTCGTCGCTCTCGAGGTGGTGAGAACTAAAGCGATCTCGAAGTCGTGGGCAGGGAGGCCGTACTTCAAGAATTGGAAATCGACGAGGTAGCAGCCGACGGGTCTGCCCCCGTTGTCCGCCTTGAACATTATGTTGTTGGACCACAAGTCCCTGTGGCACATCACCTTCCTCCACTTGCCGGACGGCGCCACGAGCTCCGGCAGCCTTGGCACCCACTCCCCGATCCACCCCTTTATCGCCGCCGCCCTCTCCCCCCTCAACCCCTCGTTCATGTCGACCATGGCGCAGGCACCTTTCACGCACGAGGCCAGATACTTGGCGGCCAACGGCTCGCTGTCGATGAACGCCACCTCTTCCAACAGATGGCCGTAAACGTCGAGGATCGTCCTCCCCGTGGCGCGTCGAAGCCTCTCGTCCAGGATCAAGGATCTCGAGTGGAGGGTGGCGATCGCCCTGGCCAACAGTATCCAATGCTCCTTCCCGTAAGTGGCGTACTTGTCAAGCGTCGCGTAACCGCTGTCCACCGCGTCCTCGAGGACGATTATACGGTCGTTCTTGCCCAGGTAGTAGTCGGGCAGCCATTTCGGCCCGCTCCCAACCCCCATCTCGGGTATTATCACCCCGTAAACGTCGATCTCCTTGTTGAACGTGTTGTGACGGACCAGGAAGTCGTATTGGGGGCTCGAGGTGGGGGGCGGCGTTTTGGCGAAGTATCTCAGGGAACGGGACCCCTCGTCCCCCTTCGTGGCCACCGTGACGGTGAGGGTGTAGTACTGGCCCAGGAACCCGTTCGTCTCGCCCAACTTGTCCAAGCTCCAGGCTCGCGTGACGCGAGACTCGTCGGGGCCGAGCTCGCGCTCCACGATCTTCTCCACGTCCGAGTCGAGGAGGAGAGCGGACGGGCGGCGAGATGTCGAGTCGGCCATTGATTTGCCGATCGATTTGCGAATATATCGTCCTCCCAAATACGCGAAGCAAGCGTAAACACGTCGTAAATATAAGGCAATATCCGGACGTTTGTTCGAGGAAATCGGTTGGAGAATGATTCCTCGGCAAACATCGGTGTCCTCTTATCGGCGACGATTCGAAAACTTAGATAAACTGCGGGGAGGAGTCGGGGAGAGACGGGGAGATCCCCGGCTCAATGAGGCATTGTTTCGACAAACAATGTCCCGATTCTAGTAATTTATACATCCCGTAAATCTGCCGGAAATAGATATGACGAGAAAATGTGCTTCGCGATTTAATACTATTTTAAGAGAGGAGGGAGGAGGAAAAAAAACGTTACCACGCCACGATTGCGTGCTTCCGTTGATTTGTTGTCGATCGTACGTTGTTATCCGTATGAAGAAAAGTTCGAACGAATCGATTATGGAAAATCGATTTTGGAATTTTGAATTTTTATTTTTCACTTTGTTCATTCGTTGAGCACTTTTTGAAGTGGATGCATGTCTTTTAAAGTCTTTGAAATCTTTTTCAGAGAAGAAGAAGAAATATTTATTATCGCGTGTAATCGTTGGAGACGGAACGAACACGTTAACGAATAAATATGGAAAATTTTTTTTCACGGAACAATGGAAACACGCGTTGCATTCCGTATTTGCGAAACTTTTATGGATACGTAAAGTTGAACTATCAGCGGCGATAAATGGATTATCAATTGACGAATAGTTTTAAACCTTGGGACAATGTCAGAGAGAGAGAGAGAGAGAGAGAATATGGTAGCGTTGTTTGGATGAATTGTTCGAGGTTTTTTCTTCTTTTCTTTTCTTTCCTTTTTTTTATCACTTTTTTCAAGTCATCGCGTTTCAAGCTTCGACGAGAATAGAAGAATTGTTGAATAAACGTCACTGTATCTCGTAAATTACGGGATCTAACGTTGCACAATTATACAAACAAAACGGGTCGAACAAATATTAGAGGAGGCGTTGAGATGAAAATCTGATTTATCAACTTTCTTCGCTGAATAAAAATCCAATTTTTCTTTATTTCCCTCTTTCAAAACATCGAGCAAATACAAATATTCCCTTCAGCGACAACCGTACGTTCCCCGATCATATATAGATCGCGATGTACTTTGTTCCAATTTTTTTTTTTTTATTTTTTTTTTTTTTTTTAAATTAATTTCAACATCTCCGCTTCAAATCCCTCGAGCGGATAGAAAGCATACAACCCGCCTGATTTCTTTTGGGAATGCTTGGCAATGCCGATCCTTAAGGGATTAATGTCGGATGCGCTTTTAGCACCGCCAGCGTGGACGTGTAAATCCTGAAACAAATACGATATATCGGGGAAAATTCGCGACTGGATGCAGCATTCGCGAGAAGAAACGCGCCAAACTTGGATCCCGCTTAATTTTTCCGGTTGGAAAAAATTGGGGAAAAAGGGAATCGCGTTGCATTCGTCGAAATTGTTGCCCGTTTGCAACAATTTTTCGAAAATGTTGTTCTCGTTCCTTCGTTAATTCGTTCGTAAGCCGAAAAAAAAAGAAGAAAAATCGTGGAAACGTTGGTCGAATTTAATTCGTCAAGAAATGCGAAATTCTTCTTGGAAAGGGAGGAAAGTCACACTCTAGATATTTTCGTTTCGGCTTGGTTACTTGGCAAAGGAAATTGGATTAAATGCGTTGCGAAGGAGAGAAGTAGCGGGCGATATCGGCATGCGCACGCCGATATAATTATTGCTGATTGAGTTTTCAACTGGAGCGGCGTTCGCCCATAATTCGACCGTGCGGTTCAAACTCTTCCTTCGTTGCTTTCTCGTTCGTGTCGAGAGGGGGGAAAAAAATAGGATCCAACCCCTTTGAATCAGTGCTTTTAAATTAAAAATTAACCGAGGCCGATTTATTAGAAGGGGAACAATAAAATCGAAATCGATGACGTTTCTGGCGAAAAATTACTAGATTTTTATCCGCGAAATATACCCTTTCTTCTCGAGCTCCGATGTACGATCTGTATACTGAATATTTGAAGCGGTGACGTTTTTTCGCGTAACAAATTCACTCCGTTCGACTTGGTTCCGAGCATCGTTAAACGGCAAAGTTTGCACGTCGCCGAGACGAGTTTTTAATTGGCCGGTTGGTCGTTGCAACAACAGGACAACGCCTCGTCTCCTTTTTATTTGTTTCCGTGAACAACGAAGAACGCGGCCCGAAAACACAGAATTCTGATTAATTGACGCGGCTTTAATTAAACTTTTAATTAACGGGGCGAGAAACAAAGAATTTAAAAAGTTGGCGCTCGCTTGGCCGTGACCCTGGTCGATTAACCGACCACGATGAATATCTGGCCACGTTAATGCGCATAAATTTGCAAGAAAATTCCTTCTCCTTCGATCGGGATTTCGTCTCCGCGAGCCGAACTTTTCATATTCGTGTCGTCGACGTTTCCGTCCATCGAATAACGGCGATAATACGAACGAGAACGTAGAGAAAATTGTTGCGACCGAGAGGTTATGTCGCGTAGAATTAATATTTTCATCTGAGTCGTGAACGATTCCGCGATAATAACACTTAATTTTATATTTATTCGCAATGTTATTTATTTATCGTATGTTAAAGGAATAATATTTTCACGATACGTTTCCACGAATAATTGTATCGAGTTCGATCGAGAGTATATTCTAGGTTATGTAAAATCCTGCTCGACTTCCTTTCGTTACTTTCTATACCTACGAATTTCAGCGATCTCTCGATACCCTCGCATGAAACTTGATGCCAACTCGATGTTGTTAGAAGTAGTAGTAGGTATATGCCCGATGTATGCGCTCTACCTTCTCTTCGTGTCTATCCCGCATATTCGAAAACAACGAATCGAGTATCACGCTACTTTTGCTTGGAAAGGTATAGTTGATACCAATCCTCGAAGATAATGGATAAAATTGTCTTACGCTCGCGAGAAACGTATTTCGAAATTCATGGTAACGAAATTAAAATCGAAATTATGTTCTCGCGAGAGACGTTTTAATTAATTTGCAATACCGATTTCCAAAGCGGAAATTACATTCGAAATTGTGATTAATTTCGCTTCGAATTTTCTACTCGTGAAGAAAATATTTAAGCTCTCCGGTTATCCATTAATGTTTATTTAATGCGTTATTTGTATTAATTATTAAATATAATATCGTTGAAAAGTGCGATAATGGCATTAACGAAGCATTCAACGTTGGAGATGGGAATTACGACGATAATCGTGAAACGTAAAAGTGTGGAATTCTCGATGCATTTGACGAATATTGGTTTTTCGAACCAATGTTGATTTAAATTCCGTATATGAGAAAGCAAACGTTATATGCACATTTGAAACGATTCCGTGTTCACCGTTTCTTTCGTCGATCTGTCCGACAACGTGGAAATCTGTATTCAAGTCAGCAACTGGAAAAAGAGATAGCCAAGGATTAAGAGGAAATATAGCTATACTGGTTAGAACGTAGGAATTGATAAAAATGGTCGATCGAATATAATTTTATCCAAGGGAATGACGGAAATGTTATCAAAGTTATTAAAGTTATTAAATTTTACGAATAATTTTTAACTTGTTTTTGAAATTTGAGAACAAATTTCACGTGCCACTTTTTTTTTCAAGTTATATTAATTTTAATACGAAATCGAAATTTATACAATGAAACGTACGTAGGAAAGAATTGGCACTCGAAATTTTTATCGAATTTTATCGAAACATCGTGATATGAAACGTATGATCATTTATTTAATTTTATATTTTTTTACTCGAAAAATATAATTTGTAAAAGTTTCAACACAAGGTTCTTCTTTTCCTCAAACAAGTATATTTTAAAATTATGGAATTATCACTGCGTTTCTCCTTTTACTTTTACAAATTATCGTGGGAATACATTTTGCTTCTAAATTAAATGAAGAAATAAATAGAAAAATTAATACTAGTGGCGCCATCTCGCGTTTGGATCGTGGAAGCTTCGACTCGTTACTAGCAAAGCAGAACGTGCAAGGAGGTATTCGTGACGTCACAGACAAGGAGATCAACGTGCGAGAAGGACAGATAATATCCCCCACCATTTCGAAAACGCTACATCAAAAATTTATTAATTACACATTTTTTACTAAAAATTTCTATACTTTTAGGCTCGTATCTTTAAACTGAAGCTTCGTCCAAGTTTCTCGTGTTAATTTTAACGCGAAATTCTTTTTAATTATTTATTTATCAACGATTATCGTAGACAGTGAATCTCGTGAATTCAAAATTTCCGTAACCGAGTAATAAATAATCGATTTGCTCGTTTAAACGAAAGCAGAAATGTGAACAAAAATGATACGTGAAAGTAGAGGAAGGAATAACGTTTCAAACGCGTGTATTCATATTTATAAATAAATTTTATGATAATGAGAAATTAATGAAAATCGTGTTAAACGTTATAATGCATGGTCGGTATGGTCGGTAATATTAATCGTTAATAAATAATTAATTGAAAACGAATTCACGTCGAAATTGACACGAGAAATTTGTGTAGAGTTCTAACTCAACAAATCACGAATCTAAAAGTGTGGAAATTCTGTGCAGTAAAAAGTGCAGTGGAAAACTAAATTAAAAATTAATCATTTATTAACGAATAATGTTACCGACCGTACCGACTCTACTGACATGCAATCAATTTCTCATCAATTTCTCTAAATTATTATAAAATTTATTTATAAATATCAATATACATATTTGAAACGTTACTTCCTCTTCTACTTTCACGTGTTTTATTTTTATTCGTAATTACATTGTTGTTTGAATGAACAAATTGATTGTTTACTACTTGATCACGGAGTGGGGGATTGCGATAATCGAATTAAACAAACGATTAATCAAACGAAGAATTTCATGTTAAAATTGACATGGAAAATTTGTACAGAGATTCGGCAAGAAGATGCGAATTTAAAAGTGCAAAAATTTTTACTAAAAAACGAATAATTAATTAATTTTCAATATAGCGTTTTCGAAATGGTGGGAGATATTAGTCTCTGTCCTTCTCCCACAGTTACCTCTTTGTCCGTGACGTCACGAATACCTCCTTGCATATTCTGCTTTGCTAGTAACGAATCGAAGCTTCCACGATCCAAACGCGAGATGGCGCCACTAGTATTAATTTTTCTATTTTCTTTACTCGATTTGTATACAAAAATTACGTACGTATATTTCTGTAATATTCATAAAAATATGTCCAGACAGAAAGTGGAATTTTTTTCGTTCTTCAGGTTGAAGATAGTAGTAAATTCTCTAATATAGAATAATTTTGTACCACTGTACGTTGAATATAAATTTTAAATTAGTAATTCAAGATTGAGTTGAAAAATGTTTTTTATTTTTACATTGTACAAAATACATACAAATATACATTAAATAATAAAACATAATATATAAATATATAAATATAAATTGATTAAAATTATTCAAAAAATTAAAATTGCTAAACGCATAATATACGCAAACAAATATACGAAAATTTCAGACGAATGATAATAATTGTTTGTTGTAAATGATAAATTATGTTCTTGCTTATATTCATCGTTTAATTCGATCGAGTAATTAAATCGATCGCTAAATTAATAGGATTCGTCCAATTATGGGCTCGTTTTATTGGAAACAAATCGGTTTCTGCTGTTTTTCCTCGTCAGTGGTTAATTCGAAGCCGCTGCGATAATAAAATTCTTTCACTTTGCTGCACCGATGATACTTCTTGTCAGGGATATCGATTTGAACTCTGTTCGGTCGACCGTACGAGTGACTGGTAATCATCGGGATCTTCAGACCTTTGTTCTCCCTCGCGATTTCCAACCAATAAGACTCTGCTTGATACGATCGCATCGCGGCTTGCCGGGATCGAAACCGTCCACTTTATGAAGACGCTCGTACGCCCATTTTGTGCTGTCCTCTTTGTTATTGTTAAAATAAGAGATCGAATGTCGCGGAGCGAACGGTTCCAACTGAAATCAATTTCTTCCTCCAAGTGTTGATTCGTACACGATGATTTTCAATTACGTATTAATACTGACACGGAGGATTTTATACACGTAAAGGATTTACTTTTTTTTTTCAAAATAACCGGCTGACAGAAACTAATAAATCTACAATTCAATCTATCTATCGGTTTACGACTAGCAAATTTTTTAGTCTTGCATTCGTCCCCCGAAATATTAATACATAGACGTGGATAGGATAGGATGCGATATTTGATCGAAGATAAAATCACCGTGGCCGAGATCTGAGACAGCGTTATCAGAGACAACGTTTGACAAGAAAATTTCATCCCGAATGATAGATTTGAAATGATTTTTCCGTATCTCGTGCCGAGAGCTGTCTCAGCGAACGAATTCTATTTACTCTCTCTCTCTCTCTCTTCTTTTTTCGCGTTAATTATTGTTAAACTCCCCGTATTCGTTTGGAAAGTTCTCTTACCACGGGATAACACTTGAATTCTTTTCGAATGTTCTCGTCTCTCGCCCGCATCTCCACCCAAGGAATGATGTAATCTGGCTGATGCATTTTCTTATCTTTCTTATCTTTCCGCAGGGAGAGGAAGGATTTACAACTGAGCGGGAATTAACTGCGAATTTCGTATGTTGTTGCGATCCTTTCTGTGCAAACTGTCGTCGAATAAAGTGAAGATGTCACATCTTGCGAAACAAAAGGGCGCCGGGTGAGAGAAAATGAAACTCGTATTTTTAAAAGGGTCGAAAGAGTGGAACGTGCGTGCAACAACAATTTTTTATGTATATATTTTTTTTCTTATTTTAGAATCCAATATTTATTTAGAAATCCTTTGATACGATAACAAGGAAAAAAGAAGTGAAAGAAACGAAAGGAAAGTATAAGTTATAAAAATGGTTAAAGATAAATCAAAATAATAAAAAAGGAGAAATCGAAGAGAAAAAGCGAAATAAAAGTTTTCTTTCGATTGAATATCTCGATCTGATCGAGTATTTATGATTAAAAAAGAAAAAGAAAAAAAGTTCAATCGAAAGAAAATGAAGCCTTCGTTTTCTTATATCGTTGTTTAATAAGTGCCACGACACGCCATCTTACGAAACACGCAACAAGTTCTCCTGGATAAATCATTAGTTCGACGATTTTATGCGACGCGGCGCTGCTTGTATAATTCCTATTACTAATTTTTACGGAAATAAAGATAATCGGAATTGAATTTGAAAGCCTCCGTTTAATTAACCACTGATCAACAACTGTCGATAAGCTGTTTTCCCTTCCTGGTTTTAGGATTCGGTCAACTTTCGTTAAATCGATTTCCATCTATTCGATTAAAATTTCACTGGATCGACGCATCGCCTGTGCGCTTTCTCCCTCGATGTATTTTTTTTTCTTTTTTTTTTTCCACTCTAAAATGTTTTTCAAATGTTTTTCGGAGAGGAAATTCGAGGATATTCGATTACACATAAAATCTTTTATTTCTTCGTTCTAGAATTATTTATATTTAAATCCACACGAACAAAACATGGAAGCTCTTTGTATCGCGCGTTGTATCGTATTGAAATATTATATATATATATATATATATATAAAAAGTTGTTTCATCGTGTGGATGATAATTGCATGAAACGAGGAGATAATAAAATAATTTGAATTTATATGAATATAACGTGTTAATTGAATACTTGGTTACAAAATAGGTGTATCCTCATTAGTAGAAGAAGTTTCGTAGCGGGGCTAGGTAAACGTTTCTTTATACGTTAATTAAAACGATTTTTATACGTTACCAAAAGGATATTAACCACGAATGAAATAAAAAGAGAGACAAAAGGCCATAAACGAGGAACAAAGGAAAGGAATTTTTCACAATTTCAATTCTTCGTAAAGCGGAATAATTGCATGGATACATAAATATTAAATTACGTATGCCTATTGCGGTTCGTACGAGCGTATTCTCAAACGTATTCTCGTTCAAGGTATAATCGAATACATTAAAGGATATGTTAATGATTTCTCTCGAACGATTACTTCTCTTTACACGTATATAACAATGTTACGTGTAAAGGTGATCGTGGATCTTGAAACTGAAAACTGTTGTCGCGTGAAGCGACAGCACTCTCACGAAAGAACTTTTTTCTTCATTTCCCAACAAAATTTACCAATTAAGTAGAGAGAAGCGAGAGAAAAAGTGTTCGTGCCTGCCAAACCAATTCGAGACACACAGATAAATTAATTTTTTACTTGTCTAACATTCTATAATTAAATATTCGACAGATTTTAAAAACGATCAAGTCAAAATTTCGATAAATTGTACGCAAATCGCATTTTCATTTGCGTCAAACGTCGTTTCGTCGAATTCGTTGCGATTAAATTAGTAGGAATGTACATCCAGAGATTGCGAGTTTCGATATCTGACCTATTCGTGAATCACGTTCTACGATTTACCGAGGGGATCTCTGGTTTCCCCGCTAATCCATACACACGTTCGTTCTATATTCTGCCACATTTCAAAATTGTAAGAGGGAGGAGGGAGAGAGAGCGCGTGACTAAAGTGGTCGAAACGGAATTAACAAGTGAGAGAGAAGTGGTTCGAGAAAGAATCGAGAGAGAGAGAGAGATAAGTTGCACGAATGTAAAACTTCGTTCGATGGTAACGCACGTGGAATAGCGTAGAATACGAATATGGAGAAAAATGATGGAGAGGCGATGATCCTTTACCTCCTCGCACATAAGGGAAAGGAGGTAAGCTAGCGTTTCCTAATCTCGAGCGAGGCATCTTGCGGAGGTAACGAATCGGGAGGAGGTATTCGGACGTATTTCTACGCCGGGCAAGGAGATCGCGGAGCGGAGTCGGATATGGTATCGGTGATCCTGTAACTCTTCTCCGCCGTCGTGTTACGGAACGTGGCTTGCGCCCAACATCGGTCTCGAAGCGAAGCCGAGTGAAGAGGGAAAGGGAGGGAAAGAGAAAGAGGGGGAGGAGGCGAGAGCGAGAGAAGGAAACCGGAGAGAAGGAAAGAGAGGAAAGGCACGATAGAGCGCGAACGGGGGAGAGGAGGAGTGGGGGGACATGACTGAATGTATCGAAAGAAGGGGGTAACGGGAAGTAGAAAGTGGAGGTGGAGTTAAGGAGAGGAAGGGGAGTACGCGGGGCACGCGATACGACACACGGGGCAGAGTTTAATCAGGTTCGACTAGTTAGTTGACAGGTGCGAGCGTGGCGCGCGCGCAGCGAGGAGAGCCGAGCGGCCTCCAAGAAGCGGCGTGGCCCCTTCGCGTTCCAACTTTCAGCAAGAAACGGTGGACAACCACCGGACGCACCATCCGATCCAGACGAGAGAGAGATCGGATCCCTTCCTTCTCGATCCACTCTCGTACGCATCCGTTAAACGGATATATAATTTTACAACCGCTTTACAAATTCAAGCAAATTCTCTCTCCCTCTCATACTCTCTTTTCGAGTAATTGCAAAATTAAGAGAAAAAGATTTATGCAGCGTGGACGATCGCTATCGAAACTGTACAAACGACGATCTCTCACTTTCCAAGAAGGTGTCCAAGACCTATATAAGTACCTATATATCCGAAAACGAAGCGGTCGAATCGGGTTGGTTAGAAGAGGAAAGGCAGGGCGTCGGTTGATTTACAAGCGAAATGCAAATAAACCGCTCTTTTACTGTTATTCGGGAACATGCCCCCCCGATTTTTACCGCGGCTACGACGACCGACGGGCTGCGCCTATATTTACCGAGACACCGAGGCCTTTTCTCTCGTTTTTTCCCACGCGCGAGGCGTGACCTCTCGCGATCTCATAGTCTCCTAGACCCCTCTCCGCCGTCGCGCCGATCGGCGTCGAATCGTTCGTTGGTTTGTTCGGGGCGTAAGCGTTTTAACGGCCACGTGTCCTCTCTTCCATACCGTTAAAACCCTCCTACCCCCGTCTATCTAATTAATGGGACGTCGTCTGCGCCGCGGATATACACGCCTACGGACAGAGCTCGCGCGCACGTGCCACGTCACGCCTAACATTCGTCTCACTCGCTGTCACGCTATTCACCTATCGCGTTTCAACACTACTAACGCTCGGCAAATAGGCATAATACGCGTGCCACGTGCTTCTTAGCGGCCTCTTAGTTCTCACTCGTTTCTCACTCGTGTATACGCGCGTATAATTAGCTCGCTCGGTATCGCCGACGGACTCGAATCCAGGGAAATCTTGGGGTATCCGCGCACGAGAGATTTTCCAGCAGAGAGCGGCACATATATATATATATATGCGTATATACCATTGCTATTTGCTTCGACACCCGAGGCGTCTGACAGGATTAAGCATCGATATGTTTTATAGCCTTTACCCGTCCCATTGGGAACGGATTCTATGCGGGCCTCGATTGTGCGTGGTAAAACAGATACACCGTGATACCGGCCGCGCGATCGAGCAAGATATCGAATCGCTCGCGTGCTATCGCCCGCGTTATTTACGTCTCCATTGAGTAAATACCTTCCTCGTATATATACCTTCCCTTCTTCCTATTTTATCCCCCCTTTCCCTCGGGTCGCGCGTTCCAGTAAAATATCATATATATATATATATATATATATATATATATATATATATATATATATATATA